GGCCCCCCTAAAAAATCCTGGATCCGCGCCTGGTGTAGAGCTTCTCAAGCGTTGGGAGCCCCAAAATTTGATGGTAAAACTTGACTCAAATTGTATCATAATGTGAAAGAGGATCTAATTTAAGACATATTTCTGAGAGGGTTTTCAAAACAAATGCGTTTAAAGTCGAATATTGATGAAAGAATACAAAAAATTTCTGCGTACAACAGAGAACCCAAATTATTGTTCTGCTTCTAATGAAGCTAACTTAATATCAGGGTGGACTTCCCTCCCTGTATTCAATAATGAGCAGAAAAGGGTAATCTATTCCCATTTCCATTAGACCATTTTTCTTCAACAAGTCTCAGCAACATTTTTTAATATTCTCTCAGCAAAGTAAACCAACATTTCAAGTATATACAGGTCGTCTATAGGTTTTTTTTTTGTTAACAAAACTTTAAAAGGTTACGCAAAACGTGGTTTGAATATAAAGCTAAAATTTTACCGAACGTTGCCTGCCCCCAGATATCGATTTGCACAATCATGGATTGTATGTACTAATTCCAATTATGTTTTCACTCCGATGGATTGATTATACTCCTAAGCATATAAAACAAGCTACAATGAACACACCGTTTGGAATCAGGGGCGTACGCAGGATTTTTTCAAGGGGGGGGGGGGGTTTAAAATCTGGCCCAAAATATTTTGCTCCCGAAAATTTGAAAATCGCGCCGGCCGAAAAGTCGATCAGTGGGGGGGGGGGGGTAAGCGGACACACTGAACCCCCCCCCCCCCTGCGTACGCCCCTGTTTGGAATAGTAGAATTGTAAGCAGGTAACCTTAGGTTCTTGGTTAGTGCACGACAATCAAACCTTTCTGATTATCATAATAATTAAAACACCATTATGGAATTGAATCGTAAACAGGTAAACTTAGGTTCTTCATTAGTGCACGGCAATCAAATCTTTCTGATTATCATAATAATTAAAACACGATATGGAATAGAATCGTAAACAGGTAACCTTAGTTTCTTGATTATGTGCATAACGATACAAACTTCATGATTAAAATATTACTACAAACACCTATTTTACAATCTTTTTATGTGCTCTTCAAAAAAAAAGATTAGAGATAAATGAGGTAAAAGTAATTATAGTTGTAGAGGTTAATGCACAGAGAAATTTCAAGTCCATTGAATTGAAAGAGTGTATAAGCAGGCTAAGTTAATGAGAGTACATACATTTTGCACGATAGAAATTTTAGTTATTTTGTGGAAAATTGTTGGACACCAGTGGTGGATCCAGGAGGGGGGGGGGGGGGTCTGAGCGAATTACAATTACCTAAAACTTACATCCTTCTTGGAAATCAGCAGCCGCACTGCCGTTGTATAACTTATATGTATTAAAGAGAAATGTTTAGTATCGAGGAAGACAACGTGCTAGTATTTGAACGAATATGGGTTCATGAAGGGGGTCTTATAGGCTCGTAGCCATCTCTCAATCTATCAGATCGTCTTTTGCTATTGAATCCTGATTGTCCACGGGGGGTAGTTGTTCTCGGGGGGTAATTTTCCTCGGGGGTAGTAGTCATCGGGGGGTAATTGTCCTCGGGGGTACTCCTCGGGGAGGGGGGAATTGTCCTCGGCGGGTAATTTTCCTCGGGGGTAGTTGTCATCTCGGGGTAATTGTCCTCGGGGGTACTCCTCGGGGGGTAATTGTCCTCGGGGGTCATTGTCCTCGGGGGGTAGTTGTCCTCGGGGGTAATTCTCCGGGTGGTAATTTTCCGGGGGTATTGTCCTTGGGGGTAGTTGTCCTCGGGGGGTTATTCTCGGGGGGGGGGTAATTTTCCGGGGGGGGGGGGTAATTGTCCTTCGGGGGTAGTTTTCCGGGGCGTAAATTTCCGGGGGGGGGGGTGATTGCCCAGGGGGTAATTGTCCTAGAACCAATCAATGTAGTGAAGACAATAGAAATAAAGATGATCGACATGCAGTATAACCTCCATAAACGCATTGCACATCGCGTACTCAAAAATCGTTGGATAGTACTGGAAACTATTACACTTTTTCATTAAAAAACATGAAGACTTTTTTTTGATAGGCTCAGTAAATGAATCCCACGTGATCTCGTTTGATCAATCGTTTGATTAGGATCTACGAGTATATTGTTCTATTATCTAAAATACACAGGCAAACTGGGAACTTGGAGGTCATTACTTTTGTACTTGTGGCGTCGAGAGGTTGATTTAAGCACACATCAAATTGTGATAAATATGTACTTGTTCTTACCACATTATCCCGCACAAGGACATCTAATTAAAACAATTATTAATACAAAATCACAAAAGAATCATCTTAACTATTGTTCATTTTAACCAATGGTTTTTACCGCAAACCTCTGCAAACAGAGAATTCCGACTAACTGACAAAATAATTCAATTCATGTAAATTCTATATTTACAAGTCTAATTTTGTGTCATTATTTTAAAGAAAAAATGTTGTACAACAGTGTATTTTCTGTCTCGTCTTTTAAACCATCTCTTTTCAAGGCTGGGAAAAGTACACATTGAACAATCGTGGTTATATTGTTTTGTGATTGGCCTCTTCAGGTGGATTTGTCAAACCAATTTGATGTTATTCACATTCTGGTGTATTAGAAAAAAACATATATTTGTTAATTTAAATATTAACAGAGACATACTCAGTAACTGATAAATACTACACGAAATACTACCACTGCAACAAGCTCCATACGGAATCCTTATGTAACAATTTCATTATCACGTCATCATTGCATCATAATCATCATCACCATCATCATCATTATAATAAATTGTCGATGTTTTTTTTTAAATGAAGGCAGTTTAATAAAGATGATCGACATGCAGTATAACCTCCATAAACGCATTGCACATTGCGTACTAAAAAATCGTTGGATAGTACTGGAAACTTTTACACTTTTTCATTAAAAAAAACATGAAGACTTTTTTTTTGAATAGGCTCAGTAAATGAATCCCACGTGACCTCGTTTGATCAATCGTTTGATTAGGATCTACGAGTATATTGTTGTATTATCTAAAATACATAGGCAAACTGGGAACTTGGAGGTCATTACTTTGTACTTGTGGCGTCTTTGCAATGGCATAGTGTTATAAAACTAATCGGAAATGCAGCTAAAATCTGACATTGTTAAAAGTACAGAAATTCATGGCACGAATGTAAATTGATAGTCACATTGTAGTGACATCACAAGAATGATAAGAATGAATGAATCATTACGTACCTAATCAAACGTTAAATGTCTGATACCAATATAATCACGTATATTTCAGGAGTCAATAATCTAATTCAGTGTAGTTTGTGTTTCCCATGATGGTATAGGCCTACCAAGAATCTAAATTGAGGGTTCACGAGACCGACCGTCCTCCAAACTGGCAAATCGGTCTCGTAGACTAGGCTACCCCCTATAGTTGTCTGGGGGTAGTTGTCCTAGATGATGGTTGTCGTAGGGGGTAGTTGTCTGGGGGTAGTTGTCTGGGTGGTAGTTTTCCGGGGGTAGTTTTCCGTGGGTAGTTGTCCTAGGGGGTAGTTGTCCTAGGGGGTAGTTTACTGGGGGTAGTTTTCCGTGGATAGTTGTCGAAGGGGGTAGTTGTCCTAGTGTGTAGTTCACTTGGGGGGTAGTTGTCCTAGGGGGTAGTTTACTGGGGGTAGTTGTCCGGGGGTAGTTGGCCCACGGGGTATTCGTCCTTGAGGGTGGTTGCCCTAAGGGGTAGTTGTCCTAGGGGGTAGTTGTCCTAGGGGTAGTTGTCGTAGGGGGTAGTTGACTGGGGGTGGTTATCCGGGGGCGGATGTCCAGGGGTAGGTGTCCTAGAACAATCATTAACACGTTCTAATCTTAATGACAAATACATTCATTGCTTACAAAAGTTACAGTCATTAATAAACATATGAGCAATTATACATAATTATATAAGGCTGTTACGTCTCTCAGAAAATACGCACATTACATCTCTAACAGATTTCATTTATTCAGGACAAATTGTACTCTTTGTTTGTTTATGACAATGTTACGTCCTATGGACCAATTTCTTTGTATTGTACATTTCAAAGATTGAAAGTAGCTGCATGTCACCACTTTTACTTCTAGCTGTAAATTGTTTTTTAAAGGTACTATGTCCCATTTTCGGGCCAAAACATGAAAAGGTTAAATTCCCACGGCATTTGAAAGACAATACTAATTTAGAACTTCCCTTAAAACAAAAGGGCTTGGACGTGGCTTTTAGTGGGAAAATAACGAACATTAGTTGTCGCATCGACTTTAGTGATTGCAATCACCTAAGTAATAGTCTGATTTTCAGACCCTTTTACCGAATGGTCGTACGTTTTGTGCTGCACAAATATTCAATCAGTTTAATTTTGGCCAATTTTACAAGTAGTGGTTCATTGATGTAGACAAATGCTCACGTACCTGTTACAGCTCATTTTATGTATACATGTTATCACCAAAGACAAAAATATGTCAGGCAGTCATTCAATGGTGTCCGACAGTGAACCTTAGAAGGTAAACAAGTTTTCTTGCCTAATTTGAATATAAGGACACTGCTAGGACATAATGACATATTCATAGTTCCTGCAAAGTTCTACAGAATTTGATGTTGGTTGCAAAAGGGACATAGTACACTCTAAAAAATCAAGTGCTAATTTTAGCACCTCAAGATTTGGAGGCAGCACCTGTAAGGGCACGCATAGGGACTGCCCAAATTGTGCTAAAGTAGCACTTGTACACGTGCCATAATTCAACACCAGTCCAAGTGCTACTTCAAACACTGAGTGTAAGCCTTTTTACACTTCTGGTGCTATTAGACGCATGCAGCTCGCAAAAACCACACTTCTAGTGCATTAAATAACCCCTTTTAGAGCCCCCAAAACGGCACTACTAGTGCTAACACTTTTGCACCCAATATAGTGCTAAAGAACACACACGAACAGCATGCACAAAATCACACCTGTAGTGCTGAAAACTCACCCTTCTGTTAAACAGCCCTAACATTATTTTCAGCCTACTTTAAGCACCTAAAACATACCCCTCGAGACGCCACATGTCACACTCATGGTAACGAATGGGAAGTTTTTACTGTTACATTGAGATTGCACATTTCTATGTCAATTACATGCAGTGGTAGTTGCTGCCATGTAGAATGTTGGAAATGGTATCATCATGCACAAGCAGAATTATTAGGCAATGAAAAGAATACCTTCTCAGATCCCCGCTCTTTTATAGCCGAGTGGCGACCCATCTCATTTGAATTTTAAATTACTTTGAATTTCTTTTGTGTGAAGCACTGCCTTAGCACCTGGACTATGCACACACATTCAATACACTTTCTTTGTACATAGTACACAATCTCCTTCCACCTTACATTCTCCAAAAAGAGGAATACCTTCTCAGATCCCCGCTCTTTCATAGCCGAGTGGCGACCTATCTCATTTGAATTTTAAATTACTTTGAATTTCTTTTGTGTGAAGCACTGCGTTAGCACCTGGAACGCTGGTGTATAATGCATAATTGTTCCATTCGCTTGATCACCGAATCCGGACAATATATTCAAGTACCACGAAAACGATGATATACACGAACATCTAGAAAGATTCGCTTGATAATGACAATAATCATGGTGACTTTGTGCTGCTGTTTTGTTTTGTTTTTAGAAATATATTTATTCAGGATAACAAGAATCAGATATACATTGTAGAGAGAGAGAGAGAGAGAGAGAGAGAGAAGGACAGAGAGAAATAAGCCATGTCAAGAGCAGTATATGAATCGGCATTGTATCACACAATAATTTGTCCTTGTACATACGTTTAAAGATATCGATGGATGTAGCATTTTGAAAAGCAAAAGGTATTCCAGATTTTACCACCAGCGTATCTAAAACAATTCTTAAATCATTCAAGATTAGGCTTGGGTAAAACAACATTCAACGTATTGGCAAGTCTAGAGTTAAGACCATGTCTGTCAAAACCATTTCCACTTCATTGCACAATCGTACCAATGGATTGCCATTTTAATGAATTCATTATATTCAAGCTATTTACATCATAATCAAAGTTCCCTACGACAATACGTGCAGATCTTTTCTGTAGTCTTAACAGAATATTACTGTTTTGTAAAGAACAGTTCCCCCATACGGAACAAGAATAATCTAAGATTGGCTTTATGGTACATTTTGTATTTTTTATTCAAAATGGAAGAGCTTAGAAATTTACTGAGCTTTCTCAAAGTAATATCTTATAATTTAATGATTTGGTAAGAGATTTAATGTGGATATCCAAAAATAATCTATCATCAATTTCAATCCCTAAATATCTGATACTTCTTACTTGTTCTATTATTTCATTATTAATATGCACCTTCAGACTTAATTTATTGTTACCTCGTGTGTTACTACTCAACAGCATAACATTACTCTTATTAGTATTAATACGTAATCTATTTTTACAATACCATTCATTTATAGCATATAAATCTGCTTGGAGCTTAGATGTAATGACATTAATATCTATATTAGAAACATGTATGACAACATCATCAGCGTATATTTTACATGTACTTAACCATTGATGGACTCCTTGTATCGATCTATATGACTATAAGGGTCAAGCTCGCTATCCACAAGGACCGCTATTTATAAGGACCATTATTCATAAGGACCATTATTCATAAGGACCGTAATCCATAAGGCGTAACATACTGAATAGCGTTCCTTTATGAATAGCGGCCCTTGATATAAATAGCGAGCAAACCATAACCAATTTACCTCGCTTTTCATAAGGACCGCCATTCATATAAGAACCGCTATCCATAACGCGTGACTAAATGAGTAGCGATCTTTTATAAATAGCGAGCAGACCCCATTTAGCCGTGCTAAAGCGAGGGTAATAATCGGGAGCGCCAGGAGTGTCACACGTATGACAGACATGAGCGCTATACAAGAACCTATTATTATTATTATTATTATACCTTTAGAGTGTGGTTTTCGTTCATTTAAAAGTGAAACAAAAACTTATACATAGCCTCTCTATCTCTTTTAAATTATCTTTCATTCTATCTCAATTTCTTTCTTATTCCTCTACTGTGCATTGTAAAACAGATTAACCGAAAAATAAAAATGAACACCCATATCAACAAAATACAGTCAAACCTGCTTTAGTGACCACCTGTCTACAACAAGCACATTTTTTATTTCCCTTGAAAATGGTTTCTCATTGAAACATGTACTAAAGCAACCTGTCTACAAAGACCACTTTTTGTGTTTCCTTGGGCGGTCGATGTAGACAGGTTAAACTGTAGTATCTAACAATGCCACCTTGGATCGTTTGTTCATCATACCAGTGGCGTACGCAGGATTTTTTCAAGGGGGGGGGGGGTTACAAATCGGGTCCAAAATTTCGCAACGACTCAGCCAGCCGCTGAATAAGCTGGGGGGGGGGGGGGGGGGGGGGGGGGGGGGGTAAGAGGACACTTTTTTTTTTTTGGTCTCGAAATTTTAAAATTTGACATTTTGTCAAGTTGGGGGGGGGGGGGTAAGGTCACCTTTTTAAGGTCAGCCATTGGCAATTTTTTTTTTTTTTTTTTTTTTTTTTTTTAAATCTCGAAAGGGGGGGGGGGGTTTCCAAAATAAAACACATAAAACATACACATAAAAAACTCGAGGGGGGGGGGGTTTAACCCCAAACCCCCCCCCCCCCCCCCCCCCCCCCCCCCCCCCCCCCCCCCCCTGCGTACGCGCCTGCATCATATGGTAATAATCATGATAATGAAATGAAAGAATAAGATTGGAATTGATTTCATTTAGCAAACGACAATTACGCTTTGTTGTTTTAAAGTATATATATGAAAGACAATGCCATTTGTACCTGTAATCTGTACATCACATATCCAATCGCTGCAGCTTTAATCTAAGTCTGTGCAGGGAGATTGTTTTTGAGCCATGACCACATATTTTAATAGTAACATAATAGAACGTTTTCCCAAGTAATAAACCCTACACCGTAGGAATACTGGGTCTAATAAAACACAAGATCGATCCATACCGCGACAGGCCAAATTTTTCAGCTCTCGAAGGCAGTATTTTCAATCAGTAGAACCACTCTTTCGTTCATTTATTCAACGAGATTGATTGTTCTGATATCAGCGCACATTTCTATATTCAGTTTGGAAGTCAGAACTCACCCATCAACTGATTCTGATTGAAAATTTGGCCTGACTTTGGACAAATATCAATACAAATGGGTTTTTCGGGGGGCAAAAAAAGTATATTGCGAGCGGGCGAAGCGAGCGACCAAAAGAAATGGGCGCGTTTAATGTGGACAAAATATTTGATATTTATTCATGAATATATACTAGATAAAATATACAAATTCGGTCATCTCGTTGCCACTTTGTTGTGGTATAAATTTCATTTCGAGATAAAATTACAATAAATAACTTTTGGTTACGTTCAGGCACCATGCTGTGGGAATCATGACAATATTCGGATAGCGAGGTGCCAGAATATCGTCATAATCATTATGGGAATATTCATGGACCTCGCTGCCTGACACTATACTCGCTTCCGAATTGTGCGAGCAAGCGAAGCGCGCGTGGAAAAATGTACTACACTATCCCTGAAATGTATTTCCTCATAAAAATACACAAAGGGATATATGTTTGGGCAGCTTGTGTTTCTGTGTTTGTTATTTAGTTGACGTTATTCAAGAAAACATATTTTAATATAATCAAAATTGAAATGCTAGAGCGCCGTATGGCAACCGTGCTAAAGCTAGGGTAATAATCGGGAGCGCCAGGAGTGTCACACGTACGACAGACATGAGCGCTATACAAGAAACCACTATTATTATTATTATTATTATACCTTTAGAGTGTGATTTTTCGTTCATTTAAAAGTGAAACCAAAACTTATACATAGCCTCTCTATCTCTTTTAAATTATCTTTCATTTCTATCTCAATTTCTTTCCTTTTTCCTCTACTGTGCATTGTAAAACAGATTAACCGAAAAATAAAAATGAACACCCAGACACCCACTTACAAACGAATATTAACATCAAGAACAGAATATGAAATATAAACAACAAGTAAAATGTATTAGTTATCAAAGACAACAAGACAAAGGGAAAGTCTTATAAAAACAGGTATAAAACGCTGACACTATTCCGACCTGGCCCTTTTTGTATTTACTAGTTGTTAAAGAATGCTAAAATGTTTGTTTGGTCTGTTGTATAGAGTTAGATGGGTTCTGGAGAAAAGGTGAGCGGAAACAGACAGAAAAAGAAGAATTAAAACAATTAAAGTGACCGAATTGCGCTAACGCGTTATGACCCTCAAATAGATCCTAGATATAATTATATAATCACAGTGATCATTTACTGAAAACAATTCTAGCAGACAGTGACGTAGCGTAGAACCTTCTATTTAGGGGGCACTGACATCATGCATGGGGGCGGGGAGGGGGTCATATTAGTTTAAATGAAATACTAGTACTAATCAACATGGCCACCGATTCGGGTGAAGATGCGAGGAGGGGTCGACCTGTCACCTTCCCTCTTCCCTTCTGTCCCAATTTCTTTCATTTTGCATTCGTTCGAGGGGGAGAGGGCGTGCTCCTTCTCTACCCCTGTGCAAGTATGCAGTGCCATTGATTAGGAAAGTTTGGCCAACCCGGTTCGAGTTGGACATAATATGGCGACTACTGCTTTGTTGGGCAAGCACAAAACAAAAGAATATACGCCATGTTGTGACCCAGTGAAACCAAGTTGGCCAAACTATGTGAATAGATTGCTCTGCCCCTGTGCATATATATGCACAACATCTATAGGTGGCTCTGCCCCTGTGGCTATGTACGCCAAGGCTTTTCGGGATCAATGAGTTTGTCAGTCAGTGTCAGTGTCCGTGTATGTAGAGGCAGAGGCGGCGATCCCGGGGGACGGGGGGGGGGGGGGGGACACGTCTCCATCAAATTTTTAGGGGGGGGGGGGGGGGGGGTCATCCACCTGGAAAATTTGAAAAAGTGCAAACAAAATGTATAGAAAATGCTGACCAAAGACTGCAACACATTTAGCCCAAGAGTGCAGCGTTTAGACTAATAAAATCCAAACAAATCTCGCTCGGTCGCTATGCTCCCT